GGTATGCACTTAAGATTGTACACTTTTTTTTACTTTGTCAAAACGTGTAGTTAACGCATTGGTTTACAATTAGTGGGGCAAAGGCTTATGTTGAATACAGTGGCCATGACATTGATGATTTTCAAAAGAATGCTCCAGCAATTGAGTCAAAGTTACCACTGATTGTGACAATAAGATCAGTTAGTAGAGTATCCCCTAGACATAACAGCAAGTATCAGCATGAATTTCAATCCACAATTGCAAGCAAGCTCATCATCCATTCTTATCAGGACTGTTGCAAGGATGTCATGAACATGTGAGTTGCTGTGTATTTGTTTACCCAACTGATTAGTTCAACACCTATCGAGTTAGTGTACTTACACATTTATTTTCAACGTGTAGCTTTCTTGCATGTCGCAAACCTGTATATTTCATCGATGATACTACTTGCATAAAAACTGGACATCGGCTAAGCAATCAACTGCAAAAGAAATCGCTGAGAGAGATAAAAGAAAGGATGGAGGGCCTGTCAGATTTCACAGAGGTAAACGAACAAACACCAAAATTGACAACAGCTGTTCATTTCCATCTGTTTACCTGTATAATACATCTGACATTTTTTGCAACAGGTTACTTACATGACATTGATTAACATCCCAAAGTTTATATACAGAAAAAGCATCTGCAAAGTTCGTGGAGAGAACACAGGGTGAGCTTCTAACCATTCTCCCATGTTTACACAAGTCATAATGATACTCTTTGTCTAACCTAACAAAAAAAACTTTATTGCAAGATTGACATACAAACTGGAAGGGAAATGTCGCCAAGGAGGTTCTGAAATAGATGTGGTGTTTAAGCATGAAGCAACTTTGTCACTTATTCGTAAGTCACCATCTAATTATCAGTTTCTGAAGAAGGACGAAATCATCGAATTGATCGCAAAGAACTGTAACAAAAAATATGCTGCGGAGTTGAATGTCGCATGGAAAAAAGTAGGGGAAACAGATTCAGACATGCAGGCAAAAGCGACAGTGCTCACCCTCTGGGATCGATCGGCATTCGAGAAATGATGTTGTCTTTCAAAGCTTACCATTTTGATATCGTGCAATCAACAAAGGCACGAAACTTCTGCAAACATTTTGTTCTACTGTTTTGCACATCTTCAGTCTCCGCCATGGAACTTTTATTACTTTAGTGGATATGTCATGGAGACTTAGCAACACTCCTAACTACATTCATGTTATTCTGCAAAATCTGTCACTCTTTTGCATAATGGTCAGAGATTAGAACATTTATGTCTATGTTTGGGACATAACAATTATGGTAATAGATTATATTGAATCTCATTTAAATTATGACAGAAATAGTGTCCCGCAGCAGAGCGCGGGCTATATCCTAGTAGGGTAATTGATAAGGGAAAACCAATTAAAACAACTAAACCAATCAAAAAAGAAAAAGAAAACAAAAACAAAAATCATCAGGTCCCACCCACCCCTTTTCCTTTTTCCCTCCTCCATTTGTCCTCTAGTGAAGGGAAAACTCTACCACTTTTTCCTTTCTTTCCTTTTTTTCCTACCCTATTGTGGAATTTCTCACCCTTTTCCCCTCTTTTCTTCATCTTGTTGTGGATAGTCTAACAAGTGCTATTTGTTCCATCCATGAGAAAAGAAAAAACAATGGCTGTCTTGTACTATATAGTGTCCCCACACTCTTTATTGTTTGTTTGGTTCAATGTTGTCAAACCGGTTTATACCGTTGTGCCGGTTTGGCAAGTGTAATGGTACGACCGGTGGTATAACCAGTTTGTGCCGGTTCATGCCGGTTTAAAAAAAATGTGAAAACAATTAATATTCAATATATTTAAATATATTTGTGGACAATTGAGTTACAATCCAACAAATATCATCAACTTTTAAGTATTACATTCATAAAATGAATAATAAATTGATTTTTGTATTCATTAAATTCATTAAAATGATGTTATTTTACTTAGAATACGTAAATCGATCATACCGGTCATACCGGTGGTGTCATGCCGGTTTCATAACCAGCACAGGTTGAACCAGGTTCAACCGGGTGGCATGCCACCGGCATGACAACCATGGTTTGGTTATTTGTTGGAACTAAAAAGCCACATCGAAGAAGGCAAAAACGGTATGGGTAATGGGGCTTTCATCTGTTTTCCTTTTCTAATCAAAACAGAACAAAGTCTTTGATGGTCATGGGGATGCTTTACAAAGGGGATGGCCATGAAAGCAAGTAGGTCGTACCCATTTATATTGGTTTATTGTTGTTGTATCATGTGAGATTTAAGTGATGGGACTTCATGGAATGTGTAACTGTGTAAGTAAGATAACAATTAAGTTGGTGCTTGGGTGTTTGGTGTACCTGGTTCGAGTGGATCGGATTTAGTTGTATTAAATCATCTGATTTATATATTTTGGTGAAAATACTAAATTCAAGTTCATCCAGAAAAAATAGAATTTTATGAGTTGTTTATGAATGGGTTGGCTCGGGTGTGCTAAGTGCTATACTTATAAGTAAAAACTCAACCAAAGCGGAAAACATCAAAATACATAGAAATTGTTGTTTGGTTCTTGATGAAGTGCTGCACTTTTGCTTCAACATATGTCAAGTATTTTTCACAAACATTTAGCGAAGTAAGCTAAATATAAGCTAACGCATTCATAATATATTTATTTTTAGAGGTGGCAAATTGATTGGATTCATGGATTGGTGGATTGGATTGGTGGCTCCATGAATTAAATTGACTGGATCTAATGAATATGCGGATTCATGGATTGGATCAAACCGATTGGTGGATTGATTCATGAATCCAAGTGACATCCCAACATTAGACCAATATTTAAATTTTGAAAAGTTTAGGTTCCAAAATATCATAATATAAAATTTAGGTACCAAAGATAATGTTACAACGATAGTTTTGGTTAGGGCTGCAAATGAGTCAAGCCGCTCGCGAGCAACTCGGCGTTCGATTCGAAAAAAACTCGTTCGACACTCGACTCGTTGTTTAATAAGCCAGCTTGCGAGCCAACTCGTTAGTCGAGCCAAGCTTGAGCTAGACCATGCTCAGCTTGATAAGCTCGTGAGCTAGCTTGACTCGGTGGCTTGTTTAGAGCTTGTGGAAGGATTAATTACTCTTTTGAACATGAAAATTATCATGTTAATAAGGATGTGTATGAAAGTTAGATGTTATTTTTAGTTTCTAGTGTTCTTTTTATCATTTTTAGTTTCTAATATTCTTATTTGTACATATTTTTCAACAAAGAATGGTTTCAAATCGAGCTCATCTTGAGCCGAACTTGTACTCAGCTTGACAAGCTGTGTTAAATTGTTAATGAGCATTTATCGAGCTGAGCTCGAGCTGGATTATTTTTAATCGAGTCGAGCTTGAGCTCGAGCTAGATGATCAAAATTCGAGTTCGAGCTGAGCTCGAGCTGAAAAATTTATAAACGAGCCGAGCTCAAGCTGAGCAAAAACTCGACTCGACTCGACTCGTTTGCAGCCCTAGTTTTGGTATAAAAAATAAATTTTAGGTGTCAAATTGTAAAATATAAAAATTGTAAGTACTAAAATATAATTTGCCAACAATAGATGAATCTAATCCATGATTCACCATTCCAAATAGGGGCGACGGTGTGGTTACTATGGTAACCGTTTTAACCGGTAGTATTTGGCTAATTTGGATAATTTGTTTGGTTTGGTTAAATTTTTTAGCTTGTTTGGTTTAGATGGTTTGGTTTGGTTTCAAACACTTCTAACCAATCAAACCAAATTAACCGGTTAAGTAATTAGCCATATATCTAATATATATATATATTATATACACATATTTAATACTTTGCATAACCACTTAAGAGTCAAATGTAAGATAATTGTATTTGTTACGTATATTTATGTAAAGGGTTAGCTATAATTATGTGTTGATTGTTATATGTTACTCATTATATGAATGACGAATTGATCCACTAACCGGAAAAAATTTCTCACTTAATGATAATGTGATGTTATATCGGTTATTTTGGTTAACCAATTAACCAAATCGATTGAACTTTAGTTTGGTTAATTTGGTTGTTGTATTAGTTTGGACGGTTTGGTTATGACATTGTATTCCATTGTTAAAAGAATTTGGGCTTATTTGGTTTGGTAATTACCATGGTAACCATTTGAACACCTTTAATTCCAAATGGATTGGATTTTAAATGGATTTGATTAGTTGGATATTTTAATGAACGGATTGGATTGGATTTCTGGACCGAATATGAATTTATCACCTCACCTCTAGTTATTCTTCTAAAATTGTATAATAGCATGAACCATAGCTTATATTAAATATGTTTAATCTGGAAAAAATATATCAATTCCCTCGAAAGTGTGCTTGTATACAACATAAATACGTTTTGGATGAATTCCTTGAACAATAGTTACAACATGGGTTTAATCAGATATTTACGGGTGCATAATGTAAAACCCGTACCCAACCCTAAACTTTAATTTTAGTCATAAATACGAGTCAATTGGATCAAATTGAGCGGATGGGATGGGTTACGATGATTTTTATTCACCCCTATGTTGATGGGTTATCCAACTCACTAGGAAGAACCTACCCAAATAGATTTTGTTTTTGTTTCAATGTGGAAAATGGAATAAATATGAAAGAACAAGGAGATATGGCCAATACTGATAAACAGTTAAACACACCCATCTTCTGCTGTGGCAGTGGCATGCTGTTGCTTCTACTTCTTCATCTGTTCACTTGTTTAAGGTGGGGAATAGCACAGAAACATGCATATGATAGATTTAATCAATTAAATTGAATAAAGAACATTTCTTTTCTAAACTGTTTGTTTGTTTGATTGAGAGTGTCTCTTTTTCTCTCTTTATCCTGTACTTATCTCTCTCTCTGTAGCTGTTGAACACTGTTAATGACCACTGTCCACTCTGGATTTTGAGAAGCTAAGCCTGGGAAAAGGATACCTTTTTAAAAAGGCAAAACACACTGTTTAGCACAATAGCTCCTCTGACTTTTTCTAATGTGATACATCAATTCATTCATTCAAACACAAAATCCTCGCTAATAATTTCACAGTTTCAGCTTCTGTTGGTGTGCTTGCTGTTGCTTACCCATAATTGTCTGCCAACTCTCTCATCTTCTTCTTCTCTCTCCATTTATGGTTCCTTTTAATTGTACTTTCACCTACTGCTGCCTTTAGTAGTAAAAACTAGGAGAGAATAAGAGTACTATAGTTACCCACTCCCTGGATTGCTCTCTCTTCTTCTCTGTGTGTGGATGTGTTGTTCTCTTTCTCTTTTCAAGTTTCTTCAACCTTTGTTTGCTGCATTCTCAAAAAAAAAAAACCCCCCTTTGTTTGCTGCAACAGCAGCTGAAATTTAGCATCCAAGGCCACTTCCCTTCTTTTGCTCCCTCCCAAAAGTGGATTTCTTTCTGGTTTCCCCATGAAGCAAACTGCTCCTCTCTCAGACTCAGATTCCATCATCACTCCCATGTAAGCTACTTTACTAATCTTCCAAAAACCAATCTCTTCTTCCTTCTCTCTGTTTTAATGGTGTAACTTGGTCAGATGCTTTGTTGGGTTTGTGATGAATCTCTTTGTTTCTGAGTTTATGGTGGAACTTTCCTTTTTGTGATGAGATTTAGGTTGATGTCCCCAAAATTTGTTCAATTCTGACATCTTATCCTGTTCCCTATGCTGTGTTTTCACTTTTCTGATGTGGGTTTTCTTTTTTCTTCATCTTGGCTTCTGCTCCTTTCTTTTGTGCTGCTCCTTTGAAATTGATGTGCAAAAGCTAACCCCCTCTTTGTTCTATTCGCTTAGACTCGGTCAGATTCATTAACCCTTTCTGCTGAAACAGTGTACTGGTAATACCGCAGAAAGCTGGTTGAGTGTATTTTCCTTCAAAAGTTTTTACCTTTACCAGCCTCAGTTTCATGTCTTTCTCTGGTAATTTGTTCTAGGTTCTGAATGATTGACGTCCTGCTTCTCAGCAAGTTAAGACTTTTCATTAGGAGTAGAACCTCTATGCTGTTTGCTTAGCTTTAGATAATCATGAAACTGTAAGAGAATTGGACTAGTTCCCATTCTTAAGAGGATGCTGTGGATCAATGGTTACCGTGGCTACTAGGAATTTGGGTCATCTCTACTGGTTTAGGCCCTCAACTTTTGCAGTTTATTTGTCTGAATTAGTATTTTTGTTGTTGGTTGGATTGGTTTAAGATCATGCAATGCAAAATGCAAATAGGTTAGGCGCTTACCGTAAGTAAGTAACTCATCATTGATTGGTTGGCGTAGTAGATTGGCAGTTTTCCTTCCTGCAAGCAGTAAAGTTCATTCTATGCTGTCTCCAATCACTTCATAGTTCCAGCCACAAATGACACCAATTCAGTGTCTTTGATCTTGTGAATTCCCTACCTCTAGTTTCGGTTGTGCATTTTATATCTATATATGGTAAGAGATCTTCAACAGGCATTCATTTTTTGGAAGAAAAACATTGATGCTTGGAGCACAAATGAACTTGGAACGAGGTCAAGTAGTCCTCTTGGTCAGTTACTAACGCACAGTATTAGTAATGCAAAATGCTGATCGGCTGCACTGGATAGCGGTTAGGATTGATACTCACAAACATAATTGATATAGATGGCTATAGTAAGTTGGTGCAGAACTAGTTGGATGGATAAGGATGGAAAACAAATCTTGCAACAGAGGAAGTTTTATTAAGAGAAGAATCTTAACCAAAGGTGAGCATTGTAGATGTGTGTGCAGTCCAGATGTTGCAGTTCGTCTTACGACTCTGGACATTTCATCGCATGATCTTTTACCTCTAGGCCAGAATTAGCTCTCTTAATGAGGTCTTCCCTTTGTTGCTCAATTGCTTGTTCCTGGTTTCTTGCAAAGAGTCAAAGACCAATCTTTTTCTTTCATCTGATATAGATATAGACATTGCATTTTAAGATTTAAAAGAGGGGAGTTAACTGTAGTTTCACTTAGGAGAACCTATAGATAGGGCAAATTGTGTAGCGTCTTTCCTTATCGTTCATCCTATGTGCTTTATGAACGTGTATAAGGCCATTGTGGATCTCTAACCATACTTTTGTCTTCTATATACTGTGATGAAGACTCGGTGCTTAGATTACAGCTACGCTCTTGGCAACCATATCTGCTGAGTTTTTCCCCATCCGCAATGTAACTAATGACACATTTTTCTCTAATTGCAGCTGAGAATCGCTTACTTCCTGCTTCCCTGATCGCCCATTGTTTGCGAAAACATTAAGTCGAACCCCCTCACGACATTTTCAGACGCAGTCATGCATCAACATCCCAACTCCAAATTGGATTCGGAGAACGAGTCTGATCATGAAAGCAGCAGCCAAGTAGCATCATCAAACTTATCTGCTAGCGAACCTTCACCGGACCCCTCCAAGGACACCACCACCACCACAACCCTCTCATCCTCGTCGCTCTCCCTCGACCTCGACCTCTCGCTTCAACTGCAGCACTCCCAAGAGGCCGCTCACCTCAAATCAGAACACGACTCGGGCAATGCAGCCGCCCCTGCTACACCACCACCAGCTGGAGCCGGGGTACAGCCACGAGTGTTCTCCTGCAACTACTGCAGACGCAAATTCTACAGCTCGCAGGCCCTCGGCGGGCACCAGAATGCCCACAAGCGCGAGCGGACGATAGCCAAGCGAGCAATGCGGATGGGTATCTTCTCCGACAGGTACAACAGCTTGGCCTCCCTGCCTTTACACGGAGTCTCCGCGTTTCGAAACCTCGGCATCAAGGCTCATTCCGCAACTCACCACAGCAACAACAACATCATCCCCTTCCAAAGGGTGCATCCTCAGCAGCAGCAGCCACTGTCGACGGCTAGATTAGAGCAGAGCTACTACGGGGTGCCGGTGTTGACGAAGGCGGCGGAGGAGGATGATGTAGGGTTGTATTGGCCGGGGAGTTTCCGGCAGGTAGTTGCCGCGGGTGAAGGAATCGGATTTGCCGTCACTACTAATCACAATAACGGCAACCAGCACTTTGGTCATTTGCAGTTTGCTGAGAGGCGGTCAGACAGTAATAGTACTAGTAGTTTTGTTGCCATGGAAGTGGTGGATTCTTCTTCTCCGGCGCCGGATCTGACTCTCAAGCTATAAAGTTTGGATCTTGGTTTTTTCTTTTGTTATTTCTTTTTTGGGTTAGGGAGTAAATTGATTGTTGTAACATCTCTTTGTACAGTGAGATATCCAATTTGCTTGCTCTTGTATCAGGATGAGTATGCTTCACTAGAAAACTGTAATTGTTTGTTTCTGGGTAGTTGTTGCTGATATATTCGTGTTCTTGGTTGGTTTGTGCATCTTCTGATCTTTTCCTATGTAGTGGTTAAATGGCGATTGTTGTATGACCTTTCAAGCTAAGCTTATTAGCAAAACACTTGCCACAGCTTTTCTGAAAAACTACCTTTAGCACAGGCTAAATTACGATTCATTGGGTAATTGAACTCATGAATAAGGATGGCAATTTCGACATGATCCGTTTTTATCCGATTTGTTTAGTCTATTTTGGGGGGGGGGGGGGGGGGGGGGGGGGGGTCCGGGCATAGGTACTCTCATCGACCTGACCTGTCCTGACTCGTCCCATTCTTGACACGTTCTTGCCTAAATTACTTATAATCTTAGTCATATTACTTAGGATTTTCCTTTTATTACATCATATTTTAGCTCTAATAAAGTTGTAAATTAGTGAAAATCTCAATTTCTCCAACAATTTAACTACATTTATCATAATATTGTTTTTTTTCTTGGTCTTATAATAAAAATAACGAATATTTCTAATGTTTTTCATATAAATTGCATACCCATTGGGTCGACCTGCCCCGACTAGTAACCCTTAATAAAATAACCGCCCTGTACCCGACCTGCCACGGTACGGGAATGGGTACCAAAAAACCCGCCTTGGACCTGCCTCATTGCCATTCCTACTCATGGAACTCAATTGTCATGAGTTGTATAAGCATTAAATTGGACCAAGATATATTCATATGCACTCTTCAAAATTTTAGGTTGGAGTTGGCTCCAATGTAATGAGTCTAATTAAACTCTAAATCTCTAATATTCAGATTGTTAGAAAAATAATTTAAAATATGTATGATTCGGTAACTATATTGTTAAAATTCAATAAAATAAGAATTCTATTTTTTTATCAAATTATTTGTTTACCCTTAATCAGAGTGACTCGAAAAATATTGAGATCTTATGGAGAATATTTACAGATCGTTTGGTACCAAATGAATTGAGAATTCATTTCATTTAAAATGAATTACTGTGTATAATTCATTGTCAAATGAATTCCTGTGTTTGGTATGCCATATAAAAATCTTTAGAAATAAAGGAATTGAATCCCTAAACCATGTTTGGCATAGGTTTAGAATTGAATTAAATTACAAGTTTCTCCAACTACACCCTTATTAATTTCCGGGAAAAACAATATTCATTGAAAATCCATCTTCTAAAAAATTTCTTTGGTCCTATACGTAGAATATCAAAAGTGTTCTTGTGTGTTTCTATTCTATTCATTAGTTCTTTTCTAATATTTTGTCAATGAACCCTACAATCTAGTTGTACCTTCTTAACGTAGTGATACAATCGAAGCATAAATATAAAATAACCAGCAAATACTCTAGCGTTGCAATCAAATTCTTGGTGACGCTCCTCACACTGCATCAATTGGCACCAAATAGTATATGTGGAAGTAATTTAGTTAATAAATGAGGCTAATTATGTCATTCTATTATAATTAGTATATACTTGTGGAATTCATTTTCAAAATCCATCTCAATTCCTCGGAATTACTATAACTAGTTCCAATTCCATAGAATTCAAAATTTAGAATTTAAAATGAATTCTTTTAAATACCAAACACAAAAAAAAATTCATTTCAAAATGAATTCATCAAAACTTGTGGAATAGATAAATATCTGAAGCTAAAATCTACGATACAACTACTAAATACGACTACATAGAAACTTGCGGAATTCATTAGTCAAAATGAATTTATAAAATCTACTAACATCCACAACTACTAAATACGACTACATAGAAACCTTGTCGAGGGTCTCTGGTGCTAATGCTATGACTACAGATTTACGAGAGAAAATGATAAATTTTGAAGAGACTGCTTGTGGTTTAATTTGTCTGTCTTTCCATCAGAAGCTTGTTGCAAATTTTGTTGTGCCTCACCCTCTAACCTCTCTCTCTCTCTCTCTCTCTCTCTCTCTCTCTCTCTCTCTCTCTATCTCTCTCTCTCTCTCTCTCTCTCTCTCTCTCCTAGAAAATAAGCTCCACGTAGTATCCACTAACTCCTCTCCGAGCATCCTTTGCGAGTCAGTTACTGCTTCCGCTAACCACATTTGACACGTCATCATGTAACTGCACAATCAACCTTGCATACCATGGATGGAAAACTAGATGGTCACCATACACCAAAAAACTTGGACGTTGTCCATGTTGACTAAGACAAAAATCCATGGATGGTAACCAGACTAGATGGTCATTATATCATAACATGGACAACACCGTCCATTTAGTAGTTGTGGTAGTGTCCAAGATATGAGATGATACCATCCTTTTGCGGTTCAATGGTATCTATAATGTTTGGGATGATACCATCCATCATAGGGTTGGGATGGTATCCATTATCTTGGATGACACCATCCACTTAGAGGTTGGATGGTGTCCATGATGAATGAGATGGTACCATCCATAATAATGTTGAATGGTGTCCTTTGTGTTTGGGATGGTACCATCCATAATAGGGTTTGGATGGTATCCATTATGATGAATGGATCGATGGTAACAGTGTTGTAGTTGGTACAAATAACTAACTTACGACAAGCTACTACCTATAAGACATATGACCCAACCATTCAATTCGGACCACCCGGTCCATATTTGAGCTGGTTACTTAAAATGGCTCAATTATCCATAAATACTACATGTGATATTGATAAATTTATTTTGGTATAATAAAAAGGATATCAAGGTTTGTACTTCGTCTTCTAGTCTTTCTTTCAGTTTCTATGTATGTGGAGAAGACATACATATACATGACATTATCACATTATAGGGCTATCAACATTCTTACCCTCTAATTGGCTTTTGTGACAATGGTGTATTTGATATACACAACTTATTACATATGACCTCATGGTTGTTGTCCTCTTGGTAATAGCCTTTTTGATAAGCATATAAAATCATCCAAGACCAATGATAGAACCTCATATCTAGGATCTTGATACTTGGGTCAAAATATTGGGAATTGATAGAGATATTAGGGTTTTGGGGCAGTTAGGTTATAGAATTGAGAATTTGTGGGGGAGAGACTTCGAGAAGAAGTAAAAGATGAGGAAAATCTCGACTAGGCCGATTTGTAGAGAAAGAATAGGGAGATTGGGAAGATAGAGGGGAAAGAGAACGGGATTTGGGAACTTTGATTCTCATTGAACTTACCAATCCAGTCCAAGTTTATAGAATATATAATTCGACTAATTCTCATAAGCTACCAATAATTAGCACTTCATGCTAAAATGCCAAATAACTACAAAAAACCCCCCCAAAATAGGCCCATATCCCATAAAACAAAAATAAGCCAATTATCAAAAGTGATAGAGACCTATTTTCCATAATTCTCTCCCCTTGAGAGCAACATTGCCCTTAAAGTTGTGTTGGCTCCTCTTGCATCACCTTCCCTTCCTCTATCGGGAACCATTTTTCAGTTAACAGATTATTATCAGAAGATTTACCATAAACTTAAAAATAATCTCTCTTCCCTCTCTCCCACGTTCAACTGTCCCCTCCCTCACCAAAGAGATGCAGCTCCCTTCTGCTTCTCATCTCCCCTCTCATATTCATCTCAATTCACCAAATTCATTTCCCCAATTCCATTCTTAAATCAACCCAAATCAATCCCAAGCAATAAGGTCATCTGTATTGTTTCTTTCAGTAGTATCAGAGCCCCGTTCGAATTCTGAGTTCATCACAGCTCTCAACCAGGAACTGAACAATGGCGGTTAACACCAAATCGAAGACTGCATCGGAGAAGGCGGCACAGGAGCAATAGGCTCAAGGAAAGAAGAATACATATCATGTGGGTACCAGAACGGAAGTGCCTGTCGTTGAGGACATCACGGACCTGGAAGGACTAAAGGAGTACCTGCGGAATAGACATGACAAAGAGGATCGACACAGACTAGCGTTCCAGGAACACGTGACGATCCTAACGCGGGTGGTGACCGAAATACAGGCTACACAGGCAAAGATGGCAGCCTCGAGCGCTGTCGTACCTACGGCGGTAGCCAACAAAGCTCCGGCGGCCGGGGCAACATCGCCGACAGTGGCAGCGCCGGCGGGGAGCAAGGGTGGACGAGTGGAGGTGGCGGTGGAGAGAGACCCATGGCGGGTCAAGGGTTGGGCTCAAGCGGGCTCAACTCTGCTCTTGGGCTTCTCCCTACGTTGACGGACGAGGAAATAGCAGCAATCCACAGCAAGGCGAAGATGGCGGGCTACGACTCGGCAGGGCTGGGGGCTGATCTAGGCCCGATGGGCTTGGAGCCCAACGGGGATGAGTGTCGGGCTCGAGGTGACGGATTTGAGCCACTGGGCCGAGGTCTGGACTAGGACCGCGAGATGGACGAGTTCAGCTTCGCGGATCAGGAACGAACTTGGTCCGAGTTTGAGTCCAGGAAGGGTCTGCTGGGCCTGGCAAGCCAAGCCAATAGGGACCGTTCAGGTGGATTCAAGGACGGTCGGTATGGAGGTAACTCCTATACTCATGGTGGTTATGGTGAACCCGTTTTTAGAGCTAAGCCCCCAACCATTGAGTTTCCCTAATTCAATTGGCAAGAGGATGCGGGGTTATGGATTTATGCTGCTGACAGGTGGTTCAAGAACCATGCCACTCAGGAGGACAAGAAGGCGCATCTGGCGTCTTTCTATCTGGAGGGAGATGTCTTGCAGATGCAGTGGTGGGAGTGGGTCGAGAGATCGTATGCTGAAGCAGGGATGAAGGTATCCTTGGAACGCTTCAAGGAGGAGTTGAGATTCCAGTTCGGCTGGTTAGAAGGGTGGTCACCCGAGAAGCTGGCCCAGCTTAAACAGACAGGCATTGTGGCTGATTACAGGTCTGAGTTTCTGAAGCTAGGCAACATGTGCAAGGGAATTCCGAATGATACTATGGTGGGGTTGTGCATGGCAGGTTTGAAGGCTGAGATTGACGCAGCTATCAAGCTGTTCGAACCGGAGTTGCTCCGGGTGGCTTTCAAGTTGGCGAGTCGCAAGGAAGAGGAGTTGGCTAGTTGGAGGAGTGTGACAGGACGTTAGCAGAAGGCAGGAGGATGCACGGGTGGAAGTGTCATCGCTGGTGGTGGGACTGGGACATCCACGGCGGCAACAACCCCTACGCCACCGCCACCAGCTCGAACGGAACCTCGCTTTCCACCTAAGGGCTTCGTGAAGTTGTCACCGACTGAG